GAGAGAGAGAGAGAGAGAGAGAGAGAGAGAGAGAGAGAGAAGCCCGGAGAACGATTGGCCGATCGGGCGAGAGAGAGAGAGACCAAGGGAGCGTGAAGAGCACAACCGTGGCAACTGCGAGGCGGAATCCCGGTGAGAGTGCCGATTGGTAACGGGATGGAAACATCGGGTTGATCATTGCTGCTACCCCAACCACTGCATGTCATACAATGAGCAAAGACGAACCTGAGGCAGAGCAGTTTCGCGACTGGATTGGATGGATGTTTCGCTCTTGATTCACGGGACCGCGGGCAATCTTGTGGGTAGGTCGGCTCTAGTGCTTCGAAAATGTCGGTGAATATCATTATGACGGATGGATGGGCAGGTAGGCGCTCGTACCGCCGGTTTTGCGATCTTCTTGCTCTCTCTGTTGAAGTCAAGTTATCTCTGAATAACTGAGGGTATGTCCGCTGCTGCTAGTTTTCCTCTTGCGGGCAGTTTGAAGAGACATACTGTGCCTAGCCTCCCTCGTTGAGGCGTAGGAGTAACGTGCAACTTGACCTCTCTCTCTCTCTCTCTCTCTGTGTGTGTCTGTGGGAGTGCCGGTTTACTCTCATCATCTCTCTCAGCAGCAGAGCAGCGAAGAGAAATGGCTAAGAAGAAGAAGCTTGTACCGTTGTCTTTTCCTCTTCTGGATGTCGTCCTTTGTATTCTTATTCTCTTGTCTCCAGCCCCCGCAGTGGCGCAGAGCGAGTCCTTTGACCCCTCCATGATCTTGGCGATGGCGGAGGTGCAGACGTATATGCACAACGTGACGAAGGGGATCGACTCCTACCTGGGAGAAAATCATCAAGACTGCATCAAAGATCCCCAGGAGGAGAGGAAGCTGACCTTCAACTTCGACACGCTGAACGAAACCTTGCTGAATTGTACTCATATCGAGCTCAAGAAGGCTTTGGGCGCGGCGCCTGGTGCCATGGTGAATCTGACGTGGGGTATCTGTCAGAAAACCGAATTGGCCAGGTACTTCGAAGTGTTAGGTACCAAATCGCTAACTCCGATCGAAGACGGGGTGAACTGCAACGCGTCGTACGCCGAGGGCATGTGTCGGGCAGGGTTTTTCAGTTGGGTGGTGACGCCGCAACGCAACAGCAGCAGTGATCAGATCCCCCTTAGGGAAGCCGGGGTAGGTGATTACGGGGGTGCTCTTCGCTGCTGCCCGGGCTTCTTCTGTCCCGCCGGCTATGGCTGCATGATCCCGTGCCCGATCGGCTCTTACTGCCCCCATGGAACGTACGACAACGAGACCAGGCGCTGCAATCCCTACCGGTACATCCCGAAGGAGGAAGACATGTGTGGGGGCGCCGACGAATGGGGCGTAGCGGGAGCCAACGATCAGATCTTCTGCAAGGAGGGGTCTTACTGCCCGCGGTCGACTTTGTCGTCCAAGTGCCCAGAAGGGTATTTCTGTCGGAAAGGGAGTAGTTCCCCCAGGACTTGTCATCTCACGGAGTGTCCCGAGGGGACCACAAACCAAGACCTCCACGTCATCGGGATAGCATTCATCATCATTCTCGGCGCGGTTCTGATGACCGTGTACACGTGCTCCAACCGCGCGTTGAAATCGCGCGAGAAGCGCAAGGCGGCGGCGCGACAGAAGGCCAAAGAGCAAACCAAGGAGCGCATCTTTGCTATGGAGCGATGGAAGAAGGTGAAGACAGCGGTTCTGAAGGGATCGTCCAATTTCTCCCGCCAGTTCTCGCGCAAGACTTCGTCTTCCAGACCGCTTCGGGAACAAGATGAAGCGATCACGATGGCGATGGGATACGAATCGTCGTCGTCAACGACGAGAGCAGCAGCGGATCCAGGGACAACATCAACAAGGAGGTACGGTCCAGCAGCAGCATCGTCGGTAGTGGTGGGCGGGGGTCCTCCTCGCGCTGGGCGGCATCCTGGGGCGACGGAGACGATTGGAGAGAATCCAGGTCCTCTGTATCAGCCTGGCACTGGGAGGAATGCTGCCGCCGCCGTTGGCAGCAGAGGAGGAGGAGGAGGAGGAGGAGGAGGAGGAGGAGGGAATGGGGGTGCGCAGGAGTGTTATCTATCTCCACGAGGCAAGCCAGGAGCGCCAGCAGCTGGTGGTGGTGCAACAACCGCGACCGGGGAGGGTACGTTTAGCGACCTGTATCCCGACCCGGAGGATCTGTATGAGCCCTTGGCGCCTCCTGCTGGGCCCGTGTCGACGAATGGGCCGTCAGATATGACGATCGTGGAAGTGCGGAAGCAGATGCCTGGCGATCCCGACTCACGGACCAAGGCTTATGAGTACGCGTATGTGCACTTGCTGAAGCAGGAGATGGCGGGCAAAGGCTCGATGCAGGATGTGATTGTCAGCGCTCATGAGCTGTTATCAGGTCGAGTGAAGCAGCAGATAGAGCTGAAGTTTGAGAACCTTGGGCTCACTCTGAAGAACTCGACGAGGAAGAAGATCCTGCAGAATGTGACCGGAACCCTTCACCCTGGCCGCGTCACGGCCGTGATGGGCCCCTCGGGGGCGGGCAAGACGACCTTTTTGGTGGCAGTCGCTGGGAAGGAGACGTACAGCGATATCACGGGCCGCGTGTACGTCAATGGGAAGGAAGAGCCGATCCAGTCGTACAAGAAGATCATCGGCTTCGTTCCGCAAGACGATATCGTGCATGGCAATCTGACGGTGGAAGAGAACCTCTGGTTCAGTGCCAATTACAGGCTGCCCTGCGACATGGCCAAGCGGGACAAGGTGTTGGTAGTGGAGCGCACGATCCTTGCGCTCGGGTTGGAGACCATCAGGGCCTCTAGAGTGGGGACTGTGGAGAGGAGAGGGATCTCCGGAGGCCAGCGGAAACGGGTGAATGTAGGTCTGGAGATGGTTATGGAACCGTCGTTGCTCATCTTGGACGAGCCGACGTCAGGTCTGGACAGCACGTCATCGAGACTGGTGGTCCAGGCGTTGCGCAGGGAGGCGGCGCGGGGAGTGAACGTGGGCGTGGTGCTTCATCAACCCAGCTTCGGCATTTTCTGTATGTTTGACGACGTGATGTTTCTGGCAAAGGGTGGGCGGACTGTGTACCTGGGTCCTGTGCACGAGGTGGAGCCTTACTTCAACAGCCTTGGCTTTCCCGTGCCCGACCGCATCAACCCACCAGACCACTACATGGATGTGCTGGAGGGCCTCGTAAAGCCTGCTAACAAGCCGCGTTTCGACAAGGAAACTCTTCCCCTCCTCTGGCTCAATCACAAAGGTCTGTCGCTTCCATATGACGATGCCTCGTCGACGACAGGCGCGGGGTTGTCTGGGGGAGGAGGGTCTGAACCGGCCACTGGGTGGAGACAGGGGGTGGAGTACGTGCAGAATGCAGTGGAAGATGTGTGGGAAGATGTCACCGATGCTTTCAACGACTTCCGCGATACTGTGACGGAGATGGTCTCCAATGTGGAGGACAAATCGGGAAGACAGACTCCTGGCTTTTTCAGTCAGTACGTGCTGATCCTTGGACGGGTCGCTAAGCAAAGGTTCCGCGAGCACCAGCTGCAGGTCCAGGACTACATCATTCTGCTGATTACCGGGGCTGCACTCGGGTTCTTGTCCTCGCCCGATGATAACCGGATGGGAGGCGGCGACGCCTATCTCAACACCATACTTGCTATCTCTCTCTTGGCAATGATCGCCGCGTTGAGGACGTTCGGCGGGGAGATGCTCACGTTTTGGAGGGAGAGCGCTTCGGGGATCGAACGGCTGTCCTATTTTCTGGCAAAGGACACGGCGGACCACTTCAACACGTTCATCAAGCCGATTGTGTACCTGTCAATGTTCTACTTCTTTAACAATCCGAGATCGACATTGTTGGACAACTACGTGGTGACGCTGGCGATGATCTACTGCACGACGGGATGGGCTTACGTGTTCTCGGTGCTGCTGCCGCCCGCACCGGCGCAGCTGGGCTCGGCGGTCTTCACGCTGGTGTCCACCTTGCTGACCAAGCAGAGGGGAAAGAGGGGGTTTATCAATCTGCTCTACAATCTCAGCTTTGCACGCTGGAGCCTGGAGGCCTACATGGTGGCCAATGCGAGGAGGTACTCTGGAGTTTGGCTTCTGACACGCTGCGCCACCCTCGAGGCCATGAAGTTTAGCATCAACAGCTTTGCGAAATGTGTTGCCATGCTTTTCGTTTATGGCGTCCTTGGTCGAGTCGTCGCATTCACAATGCTCGTCATGTGCAAACGCGACAAGCAGAAGTGAGCCGCGCTTGTGTACAGACATGGAACAGCCGAGAAAGCAAACAAGGCTCTACCGGTTAGAGAGAGAGAGAGAGAGAGAGAGA